GGGGGGTGTGACGGGACAGGGAGGGCGCCGGATCCCCTCAGCGGGGCCCGACCGTTACTCCGCTGAGGTAATTAGAGAGGCCGCCCTAATTGCAGTCAGCTGAGCTGGGCATGCTGCGGCGAGCGCTCCGCCGGGCTGCGGCTAACCTCGGCCCACGCCTCGCCTCGCTCCGCTCCGCGGGCACCGCCGACGCTCCGGTGAAGGCCCCCGGTCGCAGCCCGGCAATGATGGCCGTAAATCCGTAAATGAGGAGCCGGGTCGGCGTCAGGCCTCGGGGCCCCGCTCCTCGCAGATAAATGGGGATAACACTTCACAGCAGCTGCGGCCTCGGGATGGGAGGTGCCTTCAAAGGGCCCTGTGTCGCGTAGGGTGACAGAGCTGCCCCTCAGGAGCCAGGTAAGAGCTTAAAAAGGCCTCATCAGTGAGGCCTTATCTGATTTACAGTAGCCAGAGGAGTCGGTCACTTCTGTCATTATGCCAAACCCCAGCTCCCACTTGTTAAAACTTTCCTCTCCCCTTAAAATACTAATAACTACTTAACTCTGGCCTGTGGTTTCATGATTACACCCACCTGCCCAGCCTAGGCCTGATGTATGAGGGAGATGTGACAAGAAGTAAATATTTTTTGGTGGTAGAGCTCCCCGTTGGTGGCAGGTACGGGGCTCACAAAAGGATGTGGGGAGGGTCAGGGCTGCTGCTTTCCAGGCTGGCACAGCATTTCACAGTGTACTACCTCTCCCAGGAAGCTGCGAAGCCTACTCTATAGCCCTGAAAACCACTGCTGAGTGCTGTGTAGGAGGGAAGAGCACTGCTGTGGTTTAGGTTTGGCGGCTGTAAAAGCATTAGTGAGAGTAGCAGGAAAAGGGGGAAGGGCACTGGCCCTTTTGGTAGTGTTAGCTGCTTCCCAGGGACTTGGGAATCTCTTGTGCCCAGTAGCTTTGGCTCCCTCTTGCCCGCTCTCAGGCTTGTGTTCCTGCTGTAGTCCCCCTTTTTAAATCCTTTAGTCTGCAGTCCCTTCTCTACCTGTGGTTTGCTTCCTCATCTGCTTTGCTTGCTGCAAATGCCCCTCCCCCTGAACAGTGTAGGCCACTTGATTTGAGGTTCTGCAAAAAATCTGTACACCCTCACTCCCCTGAAATGTAATATTCTGTGTCAGTGTCTTTCACCTGCTCTTGATTATTGAACATGCACAACCCAGATTTGAGCTGCCTGCGCAGAGCAGGGATTGGGGCTTTCAGAGTCAGTTCATGGTCAAATAAAAGGGGCAGGGTAGGCTGGGGAAGCCCCAGGATGGGATGGGAACAGCGGTGCCAGTTTTCTTCCTTGCCCCAGCAACCCCTTCTGCCGGGGCATGGGAAAGGAGCAGAGCAGGGTGTGCTTTGCTCTCACCAGCCCCATGGGAGCTGTTACTAGCTGGCCCAGTTCAAAGCAGGCCTGAGGCTGTTCTGATCTCTGCTGGGACCTGTGTATAGCTGGAGAAGGAAGGGGTAGCCAGGGGAGACCCCGGGCTTTGAGAGCATGGTCACTGCTCCGTCTTAGCCCAATGCCCTGGTGCAACGCAGCTTCTTGAGAAAAATAGAGAGAGGATGTCAGGGGATGTGGTGCTGCTGCTGGTGAACTGTATGCCTGTGAAAAGATGCCGTGTAGTAGAATTTCCTGCCTTGGAAAGGACAGGAAGAAAAATGCTGGGGACCTCTTTCTTAAAGCCATCAGGTATTTCAACACCCACAAAGGCAAAGCTACTGCTGGTGTCCGTCCATGGGACAAGAGTGGCCCAGGGCCTTGATGATCGATCTCTCTCCAGCCTGTGAGGAGAGCGCGTTTGGTTTCCCAGGCTGTGGTGTTATGCCCTCTTCTCTGATGCAGTCTGTGGTTTTCTAACCCGGCTTCCTTACCCTGAGCCTGCAGCGTCAGGTCCCCTCGTGTTGAGACAGCTAGTGGAGGGTTGCAGGAGCCTTTCCTGACAAAGGTGCTCTGCGTCCTCAGCTTCAAATGATGTCAGCAAAGGTGATTTCACTGCTCCCAGATAAGAGTTATGCAGAGATTAAAAGGAAGTGTTAAGTCCTGCTTTCTCGGGGGCACCAAGACTCTACACTTTAAAAAAAAAAAATATAAAAAAATCAGGGACCAAATGCAGATATCCCTGGATTTTAAAGGCCTTCTGACATGATGAAACCAAAACACTTGTCCTCATGGCCCTGTTGTGTCCCATCAGCAGTGGCCTAGGGAAGAGATGGTTGCAGAGGAGAGTGCCTCTTCCGAGCCTCCCTGTTTGGCTTCTGAATGCCCAGGGCACCCTGCAGTCGCACACTTTCTTCCCTGGGTGTTTGGCTAATGTAGGGTGACAGCTCCTCGTGCTGCTCCCAGGGAGGGATCCAGCTGAGAGGCTGGCTGTGGCACTCAGCCCTGTTCCCACAAGGAAGCCTGTTTCAGCTATTTACATCTCTCTCTTTGATCTAGCTTTTGACATGAGAAGACTTGTCAGCCAGGTAAAGGGAAACAAACAAAATGCAGCACCAGCCCCACATCTCTGCTCGCACATGATCCGCTCCCTAGCACACACCTGCCTCGCAGCCACAGATCCTTATCAGCCCTCTGATTTCCTTGCTGTCATCTCTGCTTTCCCTTCACACCCGTGCATAACTTCTAGAGGCAACTTTTTCTGCATCTTGTTCCCTGCGCGGTACGATGCTGGGGCTCCTGTGCCCACTCTCACTGGCATTTCCCTTCTTTCTAGAGTATAACCAGGGGGGTTATAACATGGTATAACCCTCCCGTGTCCTCCTCATTGCATGTGGTGCCAGGGACAGGTGATACAGATCTCCATTTCCTCCCTAAACTGCTGCCCTGTATCAGCAAGCAGCTGTCTGCAGCTCTCTCCAGAAGTAGCAGCAATACAGCAGTAGGTGACATTGTCCCTTCCTGGAAACCAGATTTTTTTTTTTTTTCCTGCTAAGCAGCTTAGGACCTTTAGGGTGAAAAGTACAAAAAAAAGTATGAGAATTTTCAGGGCTAGGGGCCTCGGACACAGCAGAACACAGCGTTACCCACCTGTGTTTTTTTCTAGAGGATTAGATGTTTTAGACTTGCTGAGAAAGCAAACTTAACGAGTTAAGAGTATTGTTGAGGTGCAGCGAGCTTTGTGGTGGGGAGAACCACGAGCACCAGCTGCAGAATAGTGTGGGACGGAGAAAATCAAACAGAGGTGAACTCCTGCTTTCATCAGCGATTCATTTTCCTGTGGCATGGGTAGGCTTCTTGGGTTTGCAAAGTTGGGTGTTCCTGGACAAGCCCCAAGCCATCTGCTCTGGTTATTTTATATGGCTTCAGGCAGCAAACCAGGGCTGAAATCCTCTAGTAAGGGAGATGTCTGCCCACAGACCCACACAAGCTGCGCTGCTGTGGGATGGGGCCCAGTTTACAAGAGTCCTTGGCTTTGCCCAGGCAGCCATGGGGCTCTGCTTCATCCAGACTCCTGCTTTGATGATTTTCTTGGGAAACTTGGCAGCCAGCAAACCAGCCCTTCTAGCCCTCCTCCTTCCCACAGCCAAGAGGGAGGTGGGCTGCCTTCCTGCTGTCCTACCTGTCTTCCTGCAGCAAGAGGTGACTCTTGGTGGCTTGTTGGTGCTGGTGACAGGGCTGGCGCTAAGCACAGCCACGTGGAACAGCACTGGAACAGCACTAGCCCTTCTCCGAGTGCTTTGCTGAGGCCTCCACATCATAACAGCTCTGTTTTGGGAACAGCCTGAACGGGGCACGACTTGACATTTGTGGGAGTGCAATTACAATTGGGACTTTGTCCTTCCCCAGGGAGAAGGGCCCTTGTAGGTAGATTCTGCTCAAGGACCCCGCAAGGGACGGGCCCTGCCCCACGAGGAAAACAGGCCAAGGGGGAGAAGAGAAACTGAGGCAGGGACAGGGTGCTAACACTTTACTGACCCAGTCTGCAACCCAGCCAGTGAACTCTCAGATTAATGCTTTATCTTTTAGGTATCCTGCTACGTCCTGCAAGATTCAGGATCCTCTCAAGCAATGGGAAAGGAAGCAAAAGGAAAACAAAAGGTTTTTCCTGCTGGTTCTTGTCACAGGAAGCCCTGCACTGTCTGAGGGAACCACCACCATTGAGTGCAGAGGCTCTGGGCTTTGAGACTCCATCAGAGCAAAGTAGAAGTTCAAGTAGAGGAAATTCCTGTTCCTATTCTCCTTTCTAGTTCAGTGTAAGGCCACAATTAAAGATTAACTGCCTCCAAATAATATGGCAGAGCTGACACCCACCAGCATCCCCTTGTGCCTGAGATCAGACCTTTGGAGCAGCAGGGTACGGGCAGAGTGGACACGCGATCAGCACCTGGGAAGTGGAACTCCAGACTTCGGTGGTGGTACCAGCAGCTTCAACTTTGCCCTTCTGAGAAGACACTCTCAGCCCTCCCTGACAAATGTTTTAATGCAGCAAGTGCCTGGGTGCTGAGGGGCAGCTCTTCAGGGACCCAGCACAGCCAGCTGATTTCAGCATGGTTTTGCAGGGTCTTGTGCATTTAAGGGGTTGAACTCAGCCTGGGCAGGGCAGCAGTAACAGCCTTGTATAATGCAGAAAAGCCTGGCACATCCTTATGTGGGTTATTAACTTTCTTTGGGGGCCTGGGGGGTAAGGTGGTAACATGACTGTATTTCCAGAGCCATCAGTCTCTGCATAAAAATCATGCTAAAAATATAAAATAAAAAGACCTCTTTGGGGCGAGCCTTGGTTTTGTGTGTTTTGTGTTTTCTTTTTTTTTTTAATTAAATAAAGTAAAACAGATTCTGAGATACAGCAGTTGGACAAGAGCAGGGTGGGAGTGAGGGAAACTCAACTTACAGAACTGGGCTTTTACTCTTTGTGGTCTATTTGATCGACTTTGATGCTGTGCTGTAATCTCAGGCGGTCTCCCAGCAGCCTGCCTGCATAAGGGAAGTTCTAACGTTTGTGCTGGGGTAATTGTTAAATGGAAACATCACCAAAGCAGGCTGTTAGAGACATTTCTGTTCCTGCATTAAAGAGCACCTCTGCTTAGCTCAGCATCAACCCCTACCAAAGCAGTGCAAGTAGGGTCCATGTACCTCAGCTGGTGAGGAACAAACTGGTTTAACTGGAGTCCTTTCCATTGACACCCAATCTTCCAGCCTAGCTTTTTGTGCAGGAGCTTCCTTCTGGGTGTGAAAAGCTGTGCTTGGGAAGAAGATGCTGTGACAGAGGAAACAGATGTATTTACCAGCTTTGGAGATGGGGGGCTGCAAGACTTATCCCCATGAAAGTCACATTTGAATTAATGTCTCTGGGATAGATTCACCTTGTTCAGACTTAACCCCTGCTTCCTTCCTGTTCTCGCCTCTCTCGAGTATTTTTAACCTGCCCCTTCAGAGGCGTCCTGCTCGCGCTCTTCCCTGGCCTCCTCCTGCCCTTCCTGCCCCCACCACCACGGTGGACATGGACACCTCTTGCATCTTCCAGTGACTCCTCCTTCTGCACTGCTGTCCTGCAGCTCGGTTTGGGACAGTTTCCCATGCTCATGCACAGCTTTGGTTTGTCAGAGATCAGGGATAACTCCCTGCAGGTTCCTGACTCGGTCCAGATCGGCGTTGTGTGCTGACCCAGGGTGGGGAACCCCAAATGCTGCTTTTACAGCAGCAGTGAAGCTCAGCCTCCCACGGGAGCTTCCCAGCCTCTCCAGCTCCTCTCCTTTCCGAGGATGTGCTCAGCAAGAGCTGGATGCCTGCCCCGCCAGGTCTTTTCCCCATAGATTTGTTTTTGGGGTGGTGTTTTTGCTTTTTATGGGTGGGGAAAACAAACCGAGCATGGCTGTGGGCGAGCATGTGGTTACAAGAAGTATCCACCGTATTTTTCTAAAGACATCAGGTGCTTCTCTCTCTGAAAGTTTGTTCTGCATCCCCTAGATAGAACACACTTCATGTTTGTGCCCACTCACCCCAATACCTCTCTAGCTGGGGCAGTCCTCTCCTGCTTCACCCAGTAGAAAACCAAAGCACAAGAAGTCAAGTCATCCCCAAGTAAACCTGACCTGAGAGTTACACTGTGTAAGTCAGGACTCGCTGGACTGAAGTCAGCTCGGTTCCCCTGATGGAAAACAGGCACACGAGGAACGTCTCACCCCCCCAGCACTGGATAGTGCCAGGCGAGGAATAATTAAACCAAATTTGGCCCTAAGAATTGCTGCCTGTCTCCCGGCCGAGCTGAGCTCCAGCCTGGCGCAGGACATGATTTCCTACCCCCTTCCACAAGTGCTTTCTCCCCCCGCAGCCCCCGCCACATCCTCTGTGTTTCAGGACAGAGGCATTTTCTGCTAGATCCACTTGGATATAAACAGCACAAAGGAAGCAATAAGGAAACTCCTCCCTATCCTTTGCTCTAACCACTTCAGACGTGCTGCCAGCTCGCTGCAGGGCACAAATTATCACAGACTCGGGGAGCTCCCTTACCTGGAGAGGCTTCGGCTCCGGTGGCTCAGCGGAGGTCAGGAGCAGATGCCCGTTTCAGCGCAACGGCCCCGCTGCGAATCACAGCTGCTCGGAGCGCCTGTCCATGTGGGGCTGTCGGCCTCCTCCTCCTCACACGTCAGGTAGGCTGGTTATCTATTGAATAGGGAGAGAGCGCGGGTGAGAGAGAGAGAGAGGGTGAACACACAGAGGAAATCAGGCAGTTTCCTGTTTGTTTATCGTGAACAAAAGCTTGTTTGGCTGGTCTGAGTGCTGCTGGCCCAGCTGCTGCGGGTGCTGCAGAGCTGAGCTCTGCCACTGGCATGAAAGGAAGGGGAAGCAAGGGAAAGGCTCCCAGGAAGAAAACCAAAACCTGCCCCAGTGGGTAGGGAGATACCACCTTGGCTTGTAGGACCTCTGATGTGTGAAGGTGGCAACCAACCACTGCTCTTTGGTCTCAAGAGGGAGCTGCCTTGTGGCAGCAGAGAGGGCTGCAGTCTCCTTCATACAGGGCCCTTTAGTCACCCCATTTCCAGCAGACCTTTACCCAAAACCTGGTACTGCGGTTTAGTTTTTGGGCTGTTTTCAGAGAAATACAGCCCATGAGCCTGTGCTGCCGTTCTTCCAACTGCTCTGGGGCCACTAAACTACAGGGCTTCGGATTAAAGCTCTTACCAACACTGGGCCCTCCCGTATGAGTTCCTCACACTCATGGACACAAGGACTCCGTGCTGGTTTCTGATGCCAAGCCAAAGCAACTTGTGCCTCTGAAGTCCCACCTGGACATTTCTGTTGTTCCTGCCCTGGTAATAAACTAGGGATGGCCTTTGGCGGGTGGGAAAGGAGGGATGCTCAAAGGGCTGCAAGGAGGTCGGGCTTCACACCTTTCCGTGTGCTGCCTCAGGTGAGAGGAGCTAAAACCTGGGGCTGGAGAAGCTCAGCAGAGTGAAACGGGCGTCAGAGGTTTCCAGGCACAGGGACTAACCCCTCCCACCTTCCTGGCCGAGTCGTGCTGCCCGTCTCACACCAGGTTGGGCTTTTTCTTCCTTGCCCGGAGACTGTGCTATTGTGTTTGCCCTCATCCCTGTCCTCTCCTTGTGTCGCTGCCCGGGGCAGGGTGACCTCCCGGCTCACCCGTCCCCGCGGAGGCCGAGGGACACCCCGCGGTCCCCGCTGTCCCTGGGTGAGGAGCAGCGTCGCTGCTGCCCTCTGCTGGAGAGCGGCCTGGCTGCCGCCTCAGCCTGCCCTCAGCCTGCTGCTGGAAAAGGTGACCTCTTCATAAGTGTCCTTCCTGCCCCACACGGTCTGTCACAGCAGCAAAGCTACAGCCTTCATCGCCCACCCCCAAAACACCCCCAGCCCCAAGACTTTGGTGCTGAGTGTAACAGTTTGTGGGGAAAATGGAAAGATCCGGGAGGACCTGGTGTGAGTCAGCTCTGGGGGGGAGAGCCTGACAGGAGGGCACTGAATTCTGACTAATGAACACCCAGGGCAGAAGTCGGGGGCAGAGCCTTTCTCCGAGTAAATTTTTGGGCCATTTTAGCTGGGTTGCTTTCTCCAGCCCAGTATCACATCCAGCCGTCTCCTCCCTTCAAGCACCATCATCCAGCGGCTTCCCACCTCTGATCATGGCTTACCTGGGGCTGAAGTGTCCCACCCAAAAGACGTGGCATATGGTGGTCGTGGGCTACTGTGCCCTGGCCGATGGTTGCTCCTCCGGGCATGGTCACAAGGCAGCCCCTCTCCTGCTGTAAGGATGAGGTGAAGGAGGAAGATTTGCGTTTCTGGAGCATCTCCAGCACCTTTGTTCACAAGAGAGTTGCGAAGGACGGGCAGCCCTTGCAATAGCCCTGCCCTGCAGCTGGGAGCCAGCCCTGCTCGGGGGGAGCAGAGCAGCAGGTGACAGGTGAGGGACACCAGGCTGATGGCGTGGTTTACACAGACTCTCTGGAAGGGCAAACCAGGGCCTGCACAACAAAACTCTGCCCTCAGTACAGAGCCACACGCCTCGACCCTCTGTCTTGTTTCTCCAGCCCAGGTCGTGCTCCGCTTTCGCAGGCAAGTTTTTGTTAAGGCCAACAAGGTGAGAAACACCAAAGGGAGAGGGTGGGACACCTTGTTTGTTGGCGTGGCGAGGGCAGCCTGCCTTCGTGTTACCCAGGCTCTTTCTGCTGCCCTGACAAGTAAAGCACCGAGAGCTCACACCCTGCAACACCTCCCCAGCGCTGCCGGGGAAGGGGCAGCGTCCTGGGCACCCTCCACCTGGGCACCCTCCAGCTCTCCTTAGTCCAGCCTGGGCCAGGAGCTCCAGGCAGCCCAGTCCCTGACTACACAATCTCAACTTCTTTTTTGTTCTGTTTTTGCCTCAAGGAACCTGCCAGCACCTGGGAAGTTTGGCAGAGGATGGAGGGCAGGGCGCGCTCACTGCTGGGCAGCTCTGGGAGCAGCATCCATCCAGCAAAGAGACAGCTCTTTCCTCACACAGTCTCCCTCTGCATCCCCCTCAAAACCACGTCCTGGCTTTACGGTCACTGCTCCTCCCTGAAGGCAGACACAGCTCGATGTTCCGCGTGGTCTACAAGGCTGAAGAGCAGCTATAAACACAGTATAAACAGGGGGTTCAGCCAGCACACACCCAGGCAGCTACAGGTTCAAGAGCAGCTTTGAAGTCCGATGAGTTCATGGCAGGTTTAGGCATTAAGTGAGGCAGAGCGAGGGTAAAGCAGCAGTTAACAGCCAGGGAACATTTGTAAAAAGAATTACACCCAAAAGCAAAGGAAACGGTGATTAATCGGACCCAGGGGTCACCGTTAGAGCCTCAGACACCTCCTCCAGAGAGGCCAACAGCAAAAGCAGCAGGAAACACTCCACACTCCACTGCGAACGCAGAGCTGGAGGGAGAAGCAATGCAGAGCCACAGGAGCCGAGGAGGGATTTCAGACACGCTGTTCTGAGCCCAACACCTGGAGCATGAAACTAACGGAGAGAAACGCAGGAAACACTGAGGGGGCTTTAAAAGGAGCCTTGGGAGAAAAGTGGAAGCTTCCTTACAAGTGTCTGAAGCGGTAAACCAGAAGAATAAAGAACAAGAACGCCGGAGGGGGAAAGGGGTCTGGAAGTTATTTGGGAGTTATGGACCCGACTGCTCAGCTGCTTAAAATATTTTGCAAGCTCAGGCACCTCATCACTGCAGGAGCATTCCCTGCCCAGCAGAAAAAGCAGGCAAGGCTTTCCATTTCGCCGGAGGCGAGGGCAACGACCCAAAACGAGCCCACCGTTCACAGCAGCTTTCCTGAGGGGTCAACATCCTCAGGGTAGTGCTGACACCCACCCAGGGCTGTTGCTGGGGGATAACAGACACCGTACAAGTACCCCCTTTGCAGGATGGGGTAATGCTGTGCCAGGCTAGTACCACGCCTTCTGACCGGTGTGAGGTTCTCTGCAGACTGTACCTGGTACAATACACCCGTTTTCTCTCCAACAGCAGTGTTGCATCAAAAGAGCACCCTGGAGAATGTAGGCAGATGCAGTAAATGGCAGCCTGAAACAAGGGAAAGCAATTAAAAGCCCTCACAATAACCTCAAGATACTCTCAGCCTTACCTTCTTGTAGGAGTTCAGCCTAAGAATCACATTTTGAGCTTTTAGGTTGTCAGGAGCAAGCCCTCTTTGCCTGCGCTAAGCGACTTTTATCCAAATAATCCAGCACAAGCACGAGGTGTCTTGCTCCACTGACCCAACCTTCATTCTTCTGAGATATTACCAAAAAACACCCCACACTACCACACTTAGGACCGTGACATTTATTGAAGGCTGGTTACACAATCTCACCCATCACATCCTCCTCACGATTCAGTTTCCCTAAATAAAAAGAGCATTGATGCAACAGAGAATTCTGCCCACCTCCGACTGCCTGAGCCCCGGAGCACCGAGTCATCCCCTCTTTATCCCAGGTGCCATCTGGAACAGACCAACTGCCACTTCCACTGACCTTGGTGTGACAGAAGGGCAGGCAGCAGCCAACAGATCGGTGTGCGGCCGCGGCAGGGGGAGAAGCGGAGATGTCCCATGTACATGAGAAGTATTTCCTGCAGAGGAAGTATCTTCTCCTCCGTGCCTGAAATCCATCTACTACATAAAGCAAATCTCTGCAGTTCTCACCCCCGGCCACGATCCGCTCGATCTGTGCCCCAGCTATCAGTGCCACGGCTCACACGGGCACAGCAGAGCCACTGTCCTAACGGCTGAGGTGTCCTCTTCCTCCCAGCTGACACCTGAGGAGACTGGCTGGACAGAGGAGCGAGCCCCGCGCGTCCCTGTTCCATAGCCCAGGAGCTGTGAGTCTGTAACGACCCCGGCTCAGCCAGCCTGAAGGCACCGAATCGCCGTGACACCGGACTGGGACAGCACCCTCCCGGGCAGGGAGTCACCTGGGCTGCCTGTTTGTCCCAGGAGTGAACAGATGGAAACTCTGCTCCTGTTGCTCAAACTGCCTGGAAAGGGGCAATTCTCAAACCTAGCTTAATGGTCAGTGGGGCCGCTCCTCTGACCGTACACGGGAGGAATGCAGGTTTGTTGTCAAGAGCGTTCAGTTTTATTTGATTAAGATTTCAAAATGGGTCAAATTTTAATTTCCCCTGCTTTTACCAATGAGGAAATCGCAAAGATTCTTTTGGAAAGGGCTGATCTGGTAGGCAGAGGTGATCAGGTTAGCTGTGGCTGCAGAAGCAGGGTCACTGGGGCAGCTGGAGGAGCACGGACTGTCCGGAGGGCAGGTAGGTGATGTTGCGGGACCGGGAGAGCTGGTAGGCGATGTCCTCGGCCGCCTCCAGCTTCCGCAGCTCGATCAGGCCGTCGCCCGCCGTGGCCAGGGAGTTGGCGATCAGCTCGGCCGCCTTCGAGTCCCCCTCCGCAGAGATGACAGCTGCCTTCTTCTGCTGCTCAGCCTGGGAGCACACAGTGAGAAGGGGAATAAGCAATAGAAAACAAGAGCAAAAGGGAGGTGATTGTGCCCCTGTACTCAGCACTGGGGAGGCCACACCTCGAGTGTTGTGTCCAGTTTTGGGCACCTCAATCCAAGAGAGATCTGGAGGTGCTGGAGCGAGTGCAGAGGAGGGCAACGAAGCTGGTGAGGGGGCTGGAAAACAAATCCTATGAGGAGCAGCTGAGGGAGTTGGGGCTGTTTAGTGTGAGGAAGAGGAGGCTGAGGGGAGACCTCATCACTCTCTACAACTACTTGAAAGGACACTGTAGAGGGGTTGGTGCTGGTCTCTTCTCACAGGTAATTAGTGACAGAACGAGAGGGAACGGCTTCAAGCTCCAACAGGGGAGGTTTAGATTGAACATTAGGAAAGAATTTTTCACCCAAAGAGTGGTCGGGCGTTGGAAGAGGCTGCCCAGGGAGGGGGTGGAGTCCCCATCCCTGGCTGTGTTTAAGGGCCGTTTAGATGCAGTGCTGAGGGACATGGTGTAGGGGAGGACTTTGTAGAGTAGGGGAGATGGTTGGACTCGATGATCCCAAGGGTCTCTTCCAACCTCAATGATTCTATGATTCTATGAAAAGAGAAGGAAGGTGCTGCTGTCACGTTTGAAATATAAATTCCCACTTAGTTCTTGTCCCCACTAGGAGAGCTAAGATAGAAGGTGATTTCATTTTAAAGCTGTATTCTCTTAGACTGTTTTTCTGCCTACTGTGGGAAGAAGCTTGAAAAATGATCTTGAAATTGCTTTATCAGTCTTAAGCTCATGAAACATTAACCCACCATAGGGTTTTCTTTCTCTGTGAAAGATTCGAGAACTTCAGTGGAGTTAAAACCAGGTCAGATAAACACTTCTGCTGTTTAATCACCCTGCTGATTACATGCATCTTACTGCATCCACTGGATTAATTTGGGGTGTAGTTACAGTTTCTTGCAGTCTGAACGGGCACATGTTCTCAGCTGTAGCTCTCTGTGAAAGATTCGAGAACTTCAGTGGAGTTAAAACCAGGTCAGATAAACACTTCTGCTGTTTAATCACCCTGCTGATTACATGCATCTTACTGCATCCACTGGATTAATTTGGGGTGTAGTTACAGTTTCTTGCAGTCTGAACGGGCACATGTTCTCAGCTGTAGGTAGAGGGTACTTTAACATGAAATTGGTTCTGTGGATGGTGCCGAGGTCCTGGGCTGAGCTGAGATTGCATGATGCAGGGACACTCCTCGGACACAGGCTCCTGTGCCCACAGTATCAAACACCACAGAAAGCTTTGGCCACCCTCCCAAAATTCACAAAGAGCAGGATCACTTGGGTTGTAAATCTCAACCCTGAACCCCATTTCTAACTGACATTTTCTCCTGAGTGCTGTTTCCTCCCTCCTCGTCCACACAGACATGTCTGTTCAGCATTCCAGTAAGACTGTGACACCATATTACAAGAAAAAAAGACCCACAAACCCAACCTCAGGCTTTATCTATCCAACAGTCACATGCCAGAGCTGAGAAACCATGTCACCATTATGACCCCAAGTGACTTTGTCATTCAACCTGCCCAGTCCCCTGAACAGGTGAGTTGGAGCGGGAAGGAGATACCAGGAACCATTTCCAAGTTTCTCAGAAGGACAAGGTACCTTTTCCACGATGAATCTGGCTCTCTCTGCTTCTTGCTGGGCTACTTGCTTCATTTCCACCGCCTCCGTGAACTCCTTGCCAAAGGTCAGATGGGTCTGCAGGGCAGAAACCAAGCAACGGTCACCAGGCTGTGACAGTTTAAAGCAGCACCACCGCGACCCACGCAGCTCCCGGGGGGACACGGCGTGCCCTTATTGGTGAAACTGCAGAGCTGAGAAACCATGTCACCATTATGACCCCAAGTGACTTTGTCATTCAACCTGCCCGGTCCCCTGAACAGGCGAGTTGGAGCGGGAAGGAGATACCAGGAACCATTTCCAAGTTTCCCAGAAGGACAAGGTACCTTTTCCACGATGAATCTGGCTCTCTCTGCTTCTTGCTGGGCTACTTGCTTCATTTCCACCGCCTCCGTGAACTCCTTGCCAAAGGTCAGATGGGTCTGCAGGGCAGAAACCAAGCAACAGTCACCAGGCTGTGACAGTTTAAAGCGGCACCACTGCGACCCACGCAGCTCCCGGGGGGACACGGCGTGCCCTTATTGGTGAAACTGGAGTGGAGATGGAAAGCCAGTATCCCTGTAAGAATAGAAACTGGGACAAGCCTCCCCATCTGGTTTTGAAGTCCTAAGGGATACACCACACGTGCAGCTCCAGACCAGTCACACCAGTACCTTCAGAGACACACCATCCTGCTCAGGCACTTGGCAGAGGGAGCTCTGCTCGCCCAGTGCCCCCCTCCCCGGCAGCCACACTGCACCTTTCCTGCCCCATTGTGCACTGGTTTGCTCCTGGGCTGTTTGGGCTGGGATGGGGGAAAAGTGAATTTCCTTCAGGAGGGCGCTTTAGTGGGAAGCGCCAGATACAGAGAGTCAAACCCTCACAGTTTTGCAGAAACAAAGTCACCTTTCTGCAAAGCCAAATCAAAGAGCTCGTTTCCCTCTCCTCTCAGCAGGCTTTTGAGGGAAGCCCCAGAAGAGAGAGGGAGAGGGGCATGTACCAGTCAGATTACAACAGATTTAATTTACAAAGTTTATAGGGAGATAGGAGAGGGAGGAGGGGAGAGCTTGAACAGCCTTAGAAGACAACACAATCCAGAGAAAACCTAATGCTTTATAGGAAAAAGGATGCTATCAAAAGCATATTTTCACTACCTCCTCATGCCTAAGCACTTTATCCCTGTGTTTCGGGGTGCTTGTGGAACAGTGGGTGTCCCTAAAGCACCGTGCAGCCTGACCCACCATCCACAGAAGCATTTGCTCTTCATTTTACCCATAAAAGCCCTGCAACAGCAGAGTCTGTCGACGCGTCAGTGCAGCAGAGCCTTCAAGGGCTTGCTCAAGGTCACTGAAGGCCGGAGACAAAGCCAGAGGTACTGACTTGAGCTGCAGTCACTCCATCACGTGCAACTGCAGCCAGAAAAACATAGTCCATGTGTCCAAACCTCCAGCCCACCCTCCTCTGGCCTTCCCTCACCGAGTCTCTTCTCCACTGCTCTTACTTGGGCTCACTCCAAAGAGAGAAATCACAAAAGGAGAACTCTTACCAAGGACACGTCGTCCAGGATGAGCCCGAAGGTCGCTGCTCTCTCCGTGAGGTCTTCGCTCACTTGCCTGGAGACCAGCTCTCTCTGAGTGATCAGTTCTCCAGCATCAAAGCGAGCCTGGAATGGGGGTGGACACCAGTGAGAAGACAGCTCTGGGAAGCGACGGATTTTCCGTGTCCTGCCCATCTTTGCAACCCCAAGCCCCAGCGTTAACCCACTTCTCCCAGAGCCAGCAAACACCGAGCTGCCCAGGCACGCGAGAAGAGAGAAAGACTTAATGACTGCAAATTTAATTAAGCTGGAGGGTAGGTTGTCCACTTGAGTTTCTAACATAAAAGCTGGGCTAAAGCTGGTTAGTGACTATTTGGCAGTTCCCAGGGGGTGCTTCCAAACCCAGAGATCTTTGGTAAGTGAAATCTAAGAATACAGAAGTGAAACCCCCAGGGGTGACTCCCAGCCCCAGGAGCAGAGATGGAAACCCCTTTCCATCTAGAGATCATCCAAGGTGAATCGAGTCACAATGACTGAGACACAAACAATTAGCAGAGCCACAATTAGCTTTTCTGGATGGCCCGTGAGAGCCTGGGGGGTGGAAAGAGCAGTCTTAGTCTGGAGCATGACACATTCCACGCTCCAGCGGGTCCCTCAACGCTAAAAAGAGGATGAGCAGAGCCCAGCAGCTCCCACACTGTCCTTACCACAACAGACTTGAGGATTTCGGTTGTGATTGAGGGCAGGACACGCTCGTCGTAGTCCTCTCCAATACTGGTGAAAATGCGGGGTAACTGGGCGGTCACTGGTCTGAACAGGATGCGCAGCGTGATGTTCACGTTCTGCAGATCTGTGGGAAGAGAGTCACGAGTTTAGCGGCAAACCAGAGGGACAGGAGACATCCTGAAGCTGTCCTCCCAGGGCAACTAAAGGAGAAATAACAAACAAGAAATCCAGATTCCTTTTTGCCAGCAGAGAAGAGTTATTTTTACTAATTCTTTCACCGTGGGATCCAAATCTTTCTAACAGATAAGAATGAAGCTTGGGTTTGTTTGTGATGCGGGGAATTACTTGCCCTACTGTAAAGGCAGAGATTTTACATTGAGAGGGACGACTTGCAGGACTGAAGGAAGGGTCCCTCAACTAAAAATACAGATGAAACCATTCCTGACTCCGTGCCAAACTGGATTCACGTGGGATCTCCGTATCCAGAAGAAAACCAAATCATGAGAGCACCTGGTTCTGGCGGGGCTGCGGGGTCCCAGCGCTCACCTTTGCTGCCGGTGATGACGGGAATGTTGCGGGGGCGAGAGCGGCAGTCGAAGATGATGGGTTTCTGCACCCAGGGGATGAGGAAGTGGGTACCTTCTCCCACCACCGTGTCCTGGACCCCGCGGAATCGGTCGAAGATGACGGCTCTGTGACCTGCATCAACTGGAGAAGAGAAGGGCAAGTCAAGTGTGGTTCCTCTACTGCCACCCATTGCACCTGCACACCCCCAAAACCTCCTCCTCCCTGCTCTCCTGGGGACAGATAAAGCCTTTTGATACAGGAGACTGATGAAATTAATTAGATCTTTTGGTGCAACAAGGCCAAGAGGAGACGCAGCCGTGACTCCCGGCCCCCCAGTCCCCTCCCAAGGTATGAAAAACAGCCCAGCAAGGCTTCCCGTCTGCTCCTCCCCTGGTGCCGTTAGCAATAAAAGCACAAAGCAGCCAAGATACTGACAAAAAGGAAAAAAAAAATAAAAATATATATATATAAAAAACGAACTGGAAGCGCTTGGCTTCTCCCACTCACCATTGTAAAGAGCAGAATTGACAACTCCACCTGCCACAGCCAACCCCAGGCCCAGCTTCCCCAGGCTTTCAA